GGCTAGCGACCACGCAGCAGCAATCACCACCCCCACAACGCACTGGGCGCAGCTGCCGCTGGGGGTGCCCCTAGGCTAGCGACCTACGCTGGGGGTGCCCACCTCTGCCTGCCGCCCCCCCCCACCCCCCCAGCGCCCCCCCCCCCCCCCCCCCCCCCCCCCCCCACCGGTCAGAGGCGCCACTCACCGCCATGGTCCAGGTGATCCAGCTAAGGTACTCGGGGATCTTGGAGTAGATCCCCGGCTTATTGACGACGGCACAGCCAATACCCCAGCTGGTGGCTCCCGTCAGCCTCCAGAGGCCGTCTCTGGAGGTGCACACCAGCGGCCCTCCGCTGTCACCCTGGGGGGGTGGGTGGGTGGGTGGGTGGCACACGCACGCACGTAAAGATAAAGGTTGTAGCTTCAACAGACCGTCGGGGCAAGTGCTGAGGGCTCAGTTTCGGTGGATTCATTTTGGACGTAGCCCTGTGAGCCATCCGGCTCTTGAAATCGGGTGCAGCCGCAAAACAAAACGTTGAAAAAATAAACACGAACAAGAAGGGCATCTTAAAGTGACCGCGCGCGGCTGCGGAAAACATGAAAGTCCAGGGGGGAAAAAATCAGAAACAGCCAAAAATATATTCCCGAAAAAAATTCACCGTAACACCGCCGATGCCGTGTGCGACAAAATCCCATTGGGATGCAAAGTCAAACAACGTCAACAACAACAACAACGACAAACCACCACAAGACAACTTCGATGAAGGCCATCAGCCTAACTCCGTATCACAACCAAACAAACCATGGGCCAAACCGGCTCCCGGCACTGTGGCACACGAGGAGGATGGATGTGGACAGCACTCCGCACGCAGTACCGCTCGTTTGAGGCCGAGTCGATCTAGGGGAGGCCCAGGACCGGTTCAGATAATCGTCACCGGCGGTGTTGGCCGCGGGCGGGAATCGGACTCGGGCCGTAGCCGGGGATTCGTAGCGCAGCGGTGGCGCTGATCGCTGCGCCACCGCTCCCCACACACGCACGCAACACGTACACACACACACAACACGTACACACACACACACACAACACGTACACACACACACACACTTACACACACACACAACAGGTACACACACACACGTACACACACAACACGTACACACACACACAACACGTACACACACACACAACACGTACACACGCACGCAACACGTACACACACACACAACACGTACACACACACACACAACACACACACACACAACACGTACACACGTACACACACACACACACAACACGTACACACACAACACGTACACACACACAACACGTACACACACACACACAACACGTACACACACACAACACGTACACACACACACACAACACGTACACACACACACAACACGTACACACACACACAACACGTACACACACACACGTACACACACACACACAACACGTACACACACACACACAACACGTACACACACACAACACGTACACACACACACACACACGTACACACACAACACGTACACACGTACACACACACACAACACGTACACACACACACACAAGACGTACACACACACACACAACACGTACACACACACACGTACACACACACACACAACACGTACACACACACACGTACACACACACACACAACACGTACACACACACACACAACACGTACACACACACACACAACACGTACACACACACACACAACACGTACACACACACACAACACGTACACACACACACACAACACGTACACACACACACAACACGTACACACACACAACACGTACACACACACAACACGTACACACACACGCACGCAACACGTACACACACAACACATACACACACACACGTACACACACACACACAACACGTACACACACACACAACACGTACACACACACACAACACGTACACACACACACACAACACGTACACACACACACACGTACACACACACACACGTACACACACACACACAACACGTACACACACACACACACGTACACACACACACGTACACACACACACAACACGTACACACACACAACACGTACACACACACACACGTACACACACACACACAACACGTACACACACACACACACAACACGTACACACACAACACGTACACACACACACAACACGTACACACACACACAACACGTACACACACACACGTACACACACAACACGTACACACACAACACGTACACACACACAACACGTACACACACACACAACACGCACACACACACGTACACACACACAACACGTACACACACACACAACACGTACACACACACACACACACAACACGTACACACACACACAACACGTACACACACACACAACACGTACACACACACAACACGTACACACACACACAACACGTACACACACACACACAACACGTACACACACACAACACGTACACACACACACACAACACGTACACACACACACAACACGTACACACACACACACACAACACGTACACACACACACAACACGTACACACACACACGCGTACACACACACACAACACGTACACACACACACACGTACACACACACACACAACACGTACACACACACAACACGTACACACACACAACACGTACACACACACACAACACGTACACACACAACACGTACACACACACAACACGTACACACACACGTACACACACACAACACGTACACACACACACAACACGTACACACACACACAACACGTACACACACACACACACGTACACACACACACAACACGTACACACACACACAACACGTACACACACACACACAACACGTACACACACACAACACGTACACACACACACACAACACGTACACACACACACAACACGTACACACACACACACACAACACGTACACACAACACGTACACACACACACACGTACACACACACACAACACGTACACACACACACACACGTACACACACACACACAACACGTACACACACACAACACGTACACACACACAACACGTACACACACACACAACACGTACACACACAACACGTACACACACACAACACGTACACACACACGTACACACACACAACACGTACACACACACACAACACGTACACACACACACAACACGTACACACACACACGTACACACACACACACAACACGTACACACACACACAACACGTACACACACCACGTACACACACACACAACACGTACACACACACACACAACACGTACACACACACACACACCACGTACACACACGTACACACACACACAACACGTACACACACACACACACAACACGTACACACACACACTTACACACACACACGTACACACAACACACACACACTTACACACACACACGTACACACAACACGCACACACACACACACGTACACACACACACACAACACGCACACACACACACGTACACACACACACAACACGTACACACACACACGTACACACACACACAACACGTACACACACAACACGTACACACACACACGTACACACACACACAACACGTACACACACACACACGCACACACACACAATACGTACACACACACACACTTACACACACACGTACACACAACACACACGCACACAATACGTACACACACACACGTACACACAACACGCACACACACACACGTACACACACAACACGCATACACGTACACACAAAGACAAAAATTCAGACATACATTCGCGCAAAGACACACGCACGCACACAGAGAAATGCGCACGCACAAAGACACGCGCACACAAAGACACACACACAAAGACAAAGACACACGCACAAAGACACGTGCACAAAGACACACGCACAAAGACACGTGCACACAGACAAAGACATATGCACACACAGACAAAGACACACGCACACACAGACAAAGACACGCACACAAAGACAACAACAACAACCGCCATTCGCCACTAAGTGGCGGTGACGTCACCACGACGCTTGTGCCAGGCCATGTGCACCTTGAGGCCACATGAAGTGTCGAACACCCGCTGGCAGGAGGTCACGGGGCAGACCCAGGTGCCACGGGCCGACTGAGTGAGATGATTGGCTGATGCACCACCTGTGCACCCTACTGTGCCAATCCGCTGTGCTTTAGTCACCCGGCACTCCCCTCGTTGTTGTGAGCATCGCTCCTCCGCCCTCCGTTGTTGTTGGAGGGCGACTACCTCCAACTGCCCAGTAGCGTCCTTCACGAGCCTCCTCCACAGAGGCCGATCTTGACACCGCTGGTACCAGTCATCGGCAAGTCCACTCAGCTCCACGTCCTCCTGTACCACGTCACTCCATATCTTCTCTAGCCCGTGCCGCGCCCGTTTAACCCCCTCGATCCGGCCGAACAAAAGCTGTTTCGGCATGCGGTGGCTGGGCATGCGGGCTACATGGCCCAGCCAACGCAGCCTTGCCTGCCGGAGGAGCTCACCGATAGGACCGTGCCCAGATCTTTCAAGGATTTGTGAGCTCCTCACAAAACCCAGCCTGGTTAAACCCAGGATGGATCGTAGGCAGGCCAGCCTAAATGTTTCTAACCGGCGAAGATGTTCCATTAGAGGGGTCCACGTTTCGCAAGCATAAAGGGAGGGGATGACCGTGGCCGAGAAGACCTGAAGCTTAGTGCGGAGCGACAGACCAGGTAGCTTCTACACAGCGTTACGCAACCAATGAAAAGATATTGCCGCTCGACTGATTCGGAGTGAGACCTCTGCTGTTAAACTGGAGCCGGTCATAAGCACACTGCCCAGGTATGGGAAACTCTCCACTCTCTCCACAACTGCCCCATCACCGATTGGGAGTTGTGGGTGTGGAGTGTCCGATGGTACAAAATACCCAGGCAGGTACTTAGTTTTGGTGGGGCTGATGGTAAGGCCCCATCTCTTAGTGGCACGCTCCAGTCTCAGCAACAGCGTCTCCAACTCCTCCTCTGAATGAGCAGCTATTACCAAATCATCGGCATACATAACGTGGTTGAGCAATAGGGAGCCATCCCTTGACCGCACCCAGGCATCGATCAGCCTCCCATTATATCTGTACCAAATGGAGATTCCCCCGGTACAGCTATTGAAGGCTTCACGAACTACGTGGTCAAAATAGATGTTAAATAATGTGGGAGCCAGAGGACATCCCTGTCACCCCCCAAGGTGTACAGGGAATGGCTCTGACTCCCGGCCACGTAGTTTTACCCGGGCCCGCTCACCATCATGAAGGTCCTTAATGATCGTGAGCAGAGGGTCAGGGACTCCAAAAGCACAAAGAACAACCCAGAGCCCAGGCCTACTGATGGTATCATATGCCTTGACCAGGTCAATAAAGCAGAGATGCAGGTCTTGTTGGAATTCCCTACACCTCTGCTGTAGCAGACGGACAGAAAATATGGCATCTGTGCAGGACCGCCCTTTCCTGAAACCGCATTGGGGCTCCGCAAGCCTCTCCTCAGCGTGCCTGGCAAGGCGATGTTGAATAATCCTTGCCAGGACCTTTCCCGGCACACTGAGGAGTGAGATGCCCCTGTAGTTGTTACAGTCTGTGCGGTCACGAGCCACTGAGGCAGACTCCATCTCCTCAGCAACCCGCGACCACCACCCATCCTTGCAGCGCCTCACGGCTCTCCGAACCTCCGAGCGAAGGCTGCGGTAAGCCTCCTCATTCTCTGACGTGGGATTCTGTAGCCGATGACAGTGGGCCTGTCGCTTTTTCTCAACCATCCTGAACACCTCCTCTGTCAGCCAGGGTCTCTGGGGAGGTCTGGACCGCGTACCCAAAGCAGCCATTGCAGCTGCATGAGTCACAGTCCTAAACCTCGCCCATTTACCCTCGACATCAGGAGGAGTGGGGGACGATGCCAACCCCAGCCGCAAGCGATGATGAAAGTCTCGCTTGCAACTTTCATCAGCTAGCTGAGACCAGGCCATTTTAGGTTGGAATGGGGTCCTGGGTGTACACCCACCACCAGAGTGGAAGAATGGCAGGTGCATCTTACAGATGACTAGTCGATGGTCAGAGGGCAGATCAGCTCCACGGTAGGTCCTGGTGTCAAGGACATGGGCTCGCATCCTTTGGTCCGTCACGCACACAAAGGCACGCACACACGCACAAAGACACGCACACACGCACAAAGACACACGCACAAAGACACGCACACACGCACAAAGACACACGCACAAGACACGCGCACACAGACAAAGACACACGCACAAAGACACGCGCACACACAGACAAAGACACACGCACACACAGACAAAGACACGCGCACACAGAGACAGAGACACGCGCATGCACAGACAAAGACACACGCACAAAGACACGCACACACAGACAAAGACACACGCACACACAGACAAAGACACACGCACACACAGACAAAGACACACGCACACACAGACAAAGACACACGCACACACAGACAAAGACACGCACACACAGACAAAGACACACGCACAAAGACACGCGCACAAAGACACACACAGACAAAGACACCCACACACAGACAAAGACACACGCACAAAGACACGTGCACAAAGACACACACAGACAAAGACACACACACACAGATAAAGACGCACAGACAAAGACACGCACAAAGACACACGCACAAAGACACACACACAGACAAAGACACACGCACAAAGACACGCGCACACAGACAAAGACACACGCACAAAGACACGCGCACACAGACAAAGACACGCGCACAAAGGCACGCCCACCCGCAGACGCACACTCGCTCACGCGGTGCGCAAGGGGATGCAGGAAGAGGGGAGGAGGCACGTGCTCTGATTCGTCACCTGTCACGTGCCACGTGACGTCACCTGGCACGTGCCGCGTGACATCACGTGGTTCCTGCTGTCTCTCATCTGACACGTGCCGTCTATCATCTGGCACGTGCTGTGCGTCATCACATCGCACGTGCTACGATTCGTCACCTGCCACGTGCTGCGCGTCGTCACCTGGCACGTGCTGTGATTCGTCACCTGGCACATGCTACGATTCGTCACCTGCCACGTGCTGTGATTCGTCACCTGGCACGTGCTGCGATTCGTCACCTGGCACGTGCTGTGATTCATCACCTGGCACATGCTACGATTCGTCACCTGCCACGTGCTGTGATTCGTCACCTGCCACGTGCTGTGATTCGTCACCTGGCACGTGCTGCGATTCGTCACCTGGCACGTGCTGTGATTCGTCACCTGGCACGTGCTACGATTCGTAACCTGCCACGTGCTGTGATTCGTCACCTGCCACGTGCTGTGATTCGTCACCTGGCACGTGCTGTGATTCGTCACCTGGCACGTGCTACGATTCGTCACCTGCCACGTGCTGCGCGTCGTCACCTGCCACATGCTGTGATTCGTCACCTGGCACGTGCTGTGATTCGTCACCTGGCACATGCTACGATTCGTCACCTGGCACGTGCTGCGCGTCGTCACCTGCCACGTGCTGCGCGTCGTCACCTGCCACATGCTGTGATTCGTCACCTGCCACGTGCTGTGATTCGTCACCTGGCCCGTGCTGTGATTCGTCACCTGCCACGTGCTGCGCGTCGTCACCTGCCACGTGCTGCGCGTCGTACACCTGGCACGCGCCGTCTCTCGTCATCCAGCCCGTGGCACGTGCTGCGATATCATCACCCGGCACGCGCCGAGAATTCCTCACCCGGCACGCGCGTCAATCAGCTGGCAAGTGCTGCGCGTCGTCACCCGGCACGTGCGGGCACGCGGCACGTGCGCGGGGTGGGGGGGGGGGGGGGGTTGGGGGGGTTGGGTGGGGGGTTGGGTGGGGGGTTGGGGGGGTCCTCTGTCACCTGGCAGGCGTCCACGCCCCCCGCGGCGTATCCGGCACACTGCATGCGCTGCGTCAGCCTGCCGGCGTACATGGCGCGTGCGTTGCACGTGCTGAGGCCGATGAGCGGGATCTGTGCCTCCTGCATCGTGTTGGCCACGTCGCCTGCAAGCGGAGAGCGGCTGCGGCGTCAACGGCGGCGGTGGTGCCGGCGGCGGTGGTGGTGGTGGTGGTTGCGGTGGTTGCAGGTGGTGGCGGTGATGGCGACGGTGGTGGTGGTGGTGGTGGTGATGGTGTGAAGACATGGGGGTGTTGGCGACTATGGTAGAGCTTGTGATGACGATGGTGGTGATGGTGTGAAGACATGGGGGTGTTGGTGACTGTGGTAGAGCTTGTGATGACGATGGTGGCGGTGGTGGTGGTGACGGTGGTGACGGTGGTGGTGATGGTGTGAAGATATGGGGGTGTTGGTGACTATGGTAGAGCTTGCGATGACGATGGTGGTGGCGGTGATGGAGACGGTGGCGGTGGTGGTGGTGATGGTGTGAAGACATGGGGGTGTTGGCGACTATGGTAGAGCTTGTGATGACGATGGTGGTGATGGTGTGAAGACATGGGGGTGTTGGTGACTGTGGTAGAGCTTGTGATGACGATGGTGGCGGTGGTGGTGGTGACGGTGGTGACGGTGGTGGTGATGGTGTGAAGATATGGGGGTGTTGGTGACTATGGTAGAGCTTGCGATGACGATGGTGGTGGCGGTGATGGAGACGGTGGCGGTGGTGGTGGTGATGGTGTGAAGACAGGGGGGTGTTGGCGACTATGGTAGAGCTTGTGATGACGATGGTGGTGATGGTGTGAAGACATGGGGGTGTTGGTGACTGTGGTAGAGCTTGTGATGACGATGGTGGCGGTGGTGGTGGTGACGGTGGTGACGGTGGTGGTGATGGTGTGAAGATATGGGGGTGTTGGTGATTGTGGTAGAGCTTGTGATGACGATGGTGGCGGTGGTGGTGGTGACGGTGGTGACGGTGGTGGTGATGGTGTGAAGATATGGGGGTGTTGGTGACTGTGGTAGAGCTTGTGATGACGATGGTGGTGACGGTGGTGATGACGATGGTGTGAAGACATGGGGGTGTTGGCGATTGTGGTAGAGCTTGTGATGACGATGGTGGTGGTGGTGACGGTGGTGATGATGGTGTGAAGACACGGGGGTGTTGGCGATTGTGGTAGAGCTTGTGATGACGATGGTGGTGGTGGTGACGGTGGTGATGATGATGGTGTGAAGACATGGGGGTGTTGGCGATTGCGGTAGAGCTTGCGATGACGATGGTGGTGGTGGTGACGGTGGTGATGATGATGGTGTGAAGACATGGGGGTGTTGGCGACTGTGGTAGAGCTTGTGATGACGATGGTGGTGGTGGTGACGGTGGTGATGATGATGGTGTGAAGACATGGGGGTGTTGGCGACTGTGGTAGAGCTTGTGATGACGATGGTGGTGACGGTGGTGATGATGATGGTGTGAAGACATGGGGGTGTTGGCGATTGTGGTAGAGCTTGTGATGACGATGGTGGTGGTGGTGACGGTGGTGATGATGATGGTGTGAAGACATGGGAGTGTTGGCGACTGTGGTAGAGCTTGTGATGACGATGGTGGTGGTGGTGACGGTGGTGATAATGATGGTGTGAAGACATGGGGGTGTTGGCGACTGTGGTAGAGCTTGTGATGACGATGGTGGTGGTGGTGACGGTGGTGATGATGATGGTGTGAAGACATGGGGGTGTTGGTGATTGTGGTAGAGCTTGTGATGACGATGGTGGTGGTGGTGGTGACGGTGGTGATGATGATGGTGTGAAGACATGGGGGTGTTGGCGACTGTGGTAGAGCTTGTGATGACGATGGTGGTGGTGGTGACGGTGGTGATGATGATGGTGTGAAGACATGGGGGTGTTGGCGACTGTGGTAGAGCTTGTGATGACGATGGTGGTGGTGGTGACGGTGGTGATGATGATGGTGTGAAGACATGGGGGTGTTGGCGATTGCGGTAGAGCTTGCGATGACGATGGTGGTGGTGGTGACGGTGGTGATGATGATGGTGTGAAGACATGGGGGTGTTGGCGACTGTGGTAGAGCTTGTGATGACGATGGTGGTGGTGGTGACGGTGGTGATGATGATGGTGTGAAGACATGGGGGTGTTGGCGACTGTGGTAGAGCTTGTGATGACGATGGTGGTGACGGTGGTGATGATGATGGTGTGAAGACATGGGGGTGTTGGCGATTGTGGTAGAGCTTGTGATGACGATGGTGGTGGTGGTGACGGTGGTGATGATGATGGTGTGAAGACATGGGAGTGTTGGCGACTGTGGTAGAGCTTGTGATGACGATGGTGGTGGTGGTGACGGTGGTGATGATGATGGTGTGAAGACATGGGGGTGTTGGCGACTGTGGTAGAGCTTGTGATGACGATGGTGGTGGTGGTGACGGTGGTGATGATGATGGTGTGAAGACATGGGGGTGTTGGCGACTGTGGTAGAGCTTGTGATGACGATGGTGGTGGTGGTGACGGTGGTGATGATGATGGTGTGAAGACATGGGGGTGTTGGCGACTGTGGTAGAGCTTGTGATGACGATGGTGGTGGTGGTGACGGTGGTGATGATGATGGTGTGAAGACATGGGGGTGTTGGTGACTGTGGTAGAGCTTGTGATGACGATGGTGGTGACGGTGGTGATGATGATGGTGTGAAGACATGGGGGTGTTGGCGATTGTGGTTGAGCTTGTGATGACGATGGTGGTGGTGGTGACGGTGGTGATGATGATGGTGTGAAGACATGGGAGTGTTGGCGACTGTGGTAGAGCTTGTGATGACGATGGTGGTGGTGGTGACGGTGGTGATGATGATGGTGTGAAGACATGGGGGTGTTGGCGACTGTGGTAGAGCTTGTGATGACGATGGTGGTGGTGGTGACGGTGGTGATGATGATGGTGTGAAGACATGGGGGTGTTGGTGACTGTGGTAGAGCTTGTGATGACGATGGTGGTGGTGGTGACGGTGGTGATGATGATGGTGTGAAGACATGGGGGTGTTGGCGACTGTGGTAGAGCTTGTGATGACGATGGTGGTGGTGGTGACGGTGGTGATGATGATGGTGTGAAGACATGGGGGTGTTGGTGATTGTGGTAGAGCTTGTGATGACGATGGTGGTGACGGTGGTGATGATGATGGTGTGAAGACATGGGGGTGTTGGTGACTGTGGTAGAGCTTGTGATGACGATGGTGGTGGTGGTGACGGTGGTGATGATGATGGTGTGAAGACATGGGGGTGTTGGCAACTGTGGTAGAGCTTGCGATGACGATGGTGGTGGTGGTGGTGACGGTGGTGATGATGATGGTGTGAAGACATGGGGGTGTTGGCGACCGTGGTAGAGCTTGTGATGACGATGGTGGTGGTGGTGACGGTGGTGATGATGATGGTGTGAAGACATGGGGGTGTTGGCGACTGTGGTAGAGCTTGTGATGACGATGGTGGTGGTGGTGGTGGTGACGGTGGTGATGATGATCGTGTGAAGACATGGGGGTGTTGGCGACTGTGGTAGAGCTTGTGATGACGATGGTGGCGGTGATGGTGGTGGTAGTGGTGACGGTGGTGGTGGTGGTGACGATGGTGGCGGTGATGGGAGTCGCCGCTCCTCACCTTCCTCCACCATCAACCCCCAGCCCGAGATCCAGCAAAGTGTCCCAGCGGCGAAGTCAGTCCCCGCCGTGGGGAGGCACACCGCCTTCACGTTGCCTGCGAGTGTGGAGGGGTGGCGGTGGTGGTGGTGGTGGTGGTGGCGGTGGTGGTGGTGGTGGTGGCGGTGGTGGTGGTGGCGGTGGTGGTGGCGGTGGTGGTGGTGGTGGTGGCGGTGGTGGCGGTGGCGGTGGTGGTGGTGGTGGCGGTGGTGGCGACACAAAGACAAAGATCCCCCGTGGAGCCTTTAAACCGTGTTGGGGAAAGTGCCGCCGAGCGAGTAGCGGCGCCGGGCACGCTGCGCGATGGGCCGGCGGGGTGGCCCAGCACCGCGCGCGCCCGGCCGCCTTTGTCTTCCCGGCGGCGATGTTCACGGCGCGCAACCGTGCCGGTGTGCTCGTCTGAAGGCCGGGTCGACCTAGGGGAGAAGGGGGCGGGGGGGCGGGGGGGGGGGCCGGGGGGGGGGGCGGGGGGGGGCCGGGGGGCAGGGCCGGTCGTTGGGATGATCGCCGCCGGCGTTGGCGGCCATGCTCCCGTGCCGTCGGCGGCGGCCTCGCGGTTACCCACACGCACAAAGACAAAGGTGACCCGTGTAGCCTCATGGTGGAGCTGCGGGCACGGTGGGGCGGGGCGGGAGGGGGGGTGTGTCACGTGGGTGACAGAAGGGGGGTGTGTCACGTAGGTGACAGAAGGGGGGTGTGTCACGTGGGTGACAGAAGGGGGTGTGTCACGTGGGTGACAGAAGGGGGTGTGTCACGTGGGTGACAGAAGGGGGTGTGTCACGTGGGTGACAGAAGGGGGGTGTGTCACGTGGGTGACAGAAGGGGGTGTGTCACGTGGGTGAGAGGGGGGGGGGTGTGTCACGTGGGTGACAGAAGGGGGGTGTGTCACGTGGGTGACAGAAGGGGGTGTGTCACGTGGGTGACAGAAGGGGGTGTGTCACGTGGGTGACAGAAGGGGGGGGGGTGTCACGTGGATGACAGAAGGGGGTGTGTCACGTGGGTGACAGAAGGGGGTGTGTCACGTGGGTGACAGAAGGGGGGGGGGGGTGTCACGTGGATGACAGAAGGGGGTGTGTCACGTGGGTGACAGAAGGGGGTGTGTCACGTGGATGACAGAAGGGGGGGGGGTGTCACGTGGATGAGAGGGGGGGGTGTCACGTGCGTCACAAAGGGGGGAGGGGGGTGTCACGTGCGTCACAAAGAGGGGGGTGTCACGTGCGTCACAAAGGGGGGAGGGGGGTGTCACGTGCGTCACAAAGAGGGGTGTGTCACGTGCGTCACAAAGAGGGGGGAGGGGGGTGTCACGTGTGTCACAAAGAGGGGGGAGGGGTGTGTCACGTGCGTCACAAAGAGGGGGGTGTCACGTGTGTCACAAAGAGGGGGGAGGGGGGTGTCACGTGCGTCACAAAGAGGGGGGAGGGGTGTGTCACAAAGGGGGGAGGGGGGTGTCACGTGCGTCACAAAGCGGGGGGTGTCACGTGTGTCACAAAGGGGGGAGGGGGGTGTCACGTGCGTCACAAAGCGGGGGGTGTCACGTGTGTCACAAAGGGGGGAGGGGGGTGTCACGTGCGTCACAGAGGGGGGTGGGGGTGAGGGGATGTCAGGTGCAACACAGAGGTGGTGGGGGGGAGGGGGGTGGTCACGTGTGTCACAGAGGGGGGAGGGGGGTGGTCACGTGTGTCACAGAGGGGGGAGGGGGGTGGTCACGTGTGTCACAGAGGGGGGAGGGGGGTGGTCACGTGTGTCACAGAGGGGGGAGGGGGGTGGTCACGTGTGTCACGTGAGAGGGTTCGTGTGGAGCCTCTTTTTCAGAAGCGACATGGCCATCACAATTGATAGCTCACAACGAAGCGCCTCCTCATCATCATCATCACGTGGACAGTTTATAGCAGCAGCAGCAGCAGCAGCCAAATGCTCTGAACTCGTGGCGCTGATTCTAAATGTGGAGGGACAGAGACGGAGAGACACAAACTCCAAATCTACAGCAGCAGCAGCGGGCGTCAGGGTCGGGATCGAACCCACGAGCTCCTGTAGACCAGGCGAGGTAGTTAACATCTCCTAGCCACCGTGATGATGATGAGAGAGAGAGAGACACAAACTCCAAATATACAGCAGCAGCAGCAGCGGGCGTGAGGGTCGGGATCGAACCCACGACCTCCTGTATACCAGGCGAGGTAGTTAACATCTCCTAGCCACCGTGATGATGATGAGAGAGAGAGACACGCAGACTCCAAATCTACAGCAGCAGGTGTTGTCAGGGATGGGATCGAACCCACGATCTCCTGCATACCAGGCGAGGTAGTTAACATCTCATAGCCACCGTGATGATGATGAGAGAGAGAGAGAGACACGCAGACTCCAAATATACAGCAGCAGTTGTTGTCAGGGATGGGATCGAACTCACGACCTCCTGCATACCAGGCGAGGTAGTTAACATCTCATAGCCACCGTGATGATGATGAGAGAGACGCAGACTCCAAATATACAGCAGCAGCAGCGGGCGTGAGGGTCGGGACAGAACCCACGACCTCCTGCATACCAGGCGAGGTAGTTAACATCTCCTAGCCACCGTGATGATGATGAGAGAGAGAGAGAGACACGCAGACTCCAAATATACAGCAGCAGGTGTTGTCAGGGTCGGGACAGAACCCACGACCTCCTGCATACCGGGCGAGGTAGTCAACATCTCGCGCGATCGTCACCGAGGACGAACCACGAAGACACAAAGACAAAGATCCCCCGTGTAGCCTCAACAGACTAAAGGGGCAAGTGCTGTTAGCGAGCAGCGCCTATGAAGGCCGGCACGGCACACGAGGTGGTGGGTGGCCAGCACCACGCCCGGCCGCCTTTGTCTCCCCCAGTGGCGATGTTTACTACACACCGTACCAGGTGCTCATTCGAGGCTGAGTCGACCCAGGGGGAGGCCCAGGACCGGTCCAGACAATCACTCACACACAGACACACTCACACACACACACACACAGACACACTCACATACAGACACACTCACACACAGACACACTCACACACAGGCACACTCACACACAGACACACTCACACACAGACATCAACACACACACAGACACCAACACACACACTCACACACACAGACACACACCGACTTAGACATTCACCGACACACACACACACGCACACACACAGACACACACCGACACATACAGACACACACACACGCACACACACAGACACACACACAGACACACACACACAGACACACACACACAGACACACACACAGACACACACACACAGACACACACACAGACACACACACACAGACACACACACCGACACACACAGACACACAACCCCACGGCGACATCGCCACCACCCCCACTCACAGGCCCCCCGCGGGACGCTGGCGCCTCAAACCGCTGTCACCACCGCTTCTCACCCCCCCAACACCGTCACGGACGCGACCTGCCCCCCACCCCCCCCCCCCCAGGCCCGTGCCCCCCACGTCGCTCACTCGTGAAGGTGACGGGCGAGGCGAGCTTCATGAGGGCGATGTCGAAGTCCTGCGTGGAAGCGTCATAGTTCTTGTTCACGTAGATGAGCTGCACGGCCGATTTCTGTGCCGACGCCATCTGGTTCTGGTTGAGGAAGCCGGCGTAGACGACCCAGTTGGACGCCTGGTTGTAGTTCTTCCTGGGGGGGGCGCGGGGGGGTGGGGGGGGGTGGGGGGCTTCGGTCAACCGGCATGGTGAGCGTGGGAGTGGTGGTGGCGGTGAGAGTGGTGGCGGTGAGCGAGAGTGGTGGCGGTGAGAGTGGTGGCGGTGAGAGTGGTGGCGGTGAGAGTGGTGGCGGTGAGAGTGGTGGCGGTGAGCGTGGTGGCGGTGAGAGTGGTGGCGGTGAGAGTGGTGGCGGTGAGAGTGGTGGCGGTGAGAGTGGTGGCGGTGAGAGTGGTGGCGGTGAGAGTGGTGGCGGTGAGAGTGGTGGCGGTGAGAGTGGTGGCGGTGAGAGTGGTGGCGGTGAGAGTGGTGGCGGTGAGAGTGGTGGCGGTGAGAGTGGTGGCGGTGAGCGTGGTGGCGGTGAGCGTGGTGGCGGTGAGCGTGGTGGCGGTGAGAGTGGTGGCGGTGAGCGTGAGAGCGGTGGCGGTGAGCGTGGTGGTGGTGAGCGTGGTGGCGGTGAGAGTGGTGGCGGTGAGAGTGGTGGCGGTGAGCGTGGTGGCGGTGAGAGTGGTGGCGGTGAGAGTGGTGGCGGTGAGCGTGGGAGTGGTGGCGGTGAGAGTGGTGGCGGTGAGCGTGGTGGCGGTGAGCGTGGTGGCGGTGAGAGTGGTGGCGGTGAGCGTGGGAGTGGTTGCGGTGAGCGTGGTGGCGGTGAGCGTGGGAGTGGTTGCGGTGAGCGTGGTGGTGGTGAGAGTGGTGGCGGTGAGCGTGGGAGTGGTTGCGGTGAGCGTGGTGGCGGTGAGAGTGGTGGCGGTGAGCGTGAGAGCGGTGGCGGTGAGAGTGGTGGCGGTGAGCGTGAGAGTGGTGGTGGTGAGCGTGGGAGTGGTAGCGGTGAGCGTGCGAGTGGTGAGAGTGGTGGCGGTGAGCGTGGGAGTGGTGGCAGTGAGAGTGGTGGCGGTGAGCGTGGGAGCGGTGGCGGTGAGCGTGAGAGTGGTGAGCGTGGGAGTGGTGGCGGTGAGCGTGGGAGTGGTGGCGGTGAGCGTGGGAGCGGTGGCGGTGAGCGTGAGAGTGGTGAGCGTGGGAGTGGTGGCGGTGAGCGTGGGAGTGGTGGCGGTGAGAGTGGTGGCGGTGAGCGTGGTGGCGGTGAGCGTGGGAGTGGTGGCGGTGAGCGTGGGAGTGGTGGCGGTGAGCGTGAGCGTGGTGGCGGTGAGCGTGGTGCCGGTGGCGGTGAGCGTGGGAGTGGTGGCGGTGAAGAGCGGCGGCGGTGAGCGTGGTGCCGGTGGCGGTGATCGCGGTGGCGGTGAAGAGCGGCGGCGGTGAGCGCGGGAGCGGCGGCGGGCGACTCACTGGCTCACGCAGTGTGCCGCCGTCACCAGCCACCCCGGAGCCACCAGGGATCCGCCACAGGCGTGCGAGCCCTGGAAGTGGAGGCTGACCTGCCAGGGCCAGCGGCCCAGGGCCGAGTTCACGCCGCCCACGATGCGGTTCACCACGGTGCTCTTGCCGCAGTCTGCGGGCACAAACGGGGACGGCCGGGGGACACGCTGAGGGGGGTGGGTGGCCAGCGCCACGGCCCCGGCCGCCTTTGTCTCCCCAGTGAAGATGTTTACCGCGCACACCGCAACGGGTGTGCGCATTTTGAGAGGAACGAGTCGAGCTGGGGGAGGCCCAGGACTGGTCCGGGCAAGCGCCACCGGCGTTGGCCGCGAGCGGGGGATCGAGATCCGGACGTAGTGCAGCGGCGCGCTAACCGCTGTGCCACCACTCACTCACACACACACGTTCACGCACACACGTTCACGCACACACACACACACACACATGCACGCGCACACGCACACACACACGCACACACACACACACGTGCAACAACAACCGCCATTCACCACTAAGTGGCGGTGACGTCACCACGACGCTTGTGCCAGGCTATGTGCACCCTGAGGCCACGTGAAGTGTCGAACGCCCGCTGGCAGGAGGTCACGGGGCAGACCCAGGTACCACGGGTCGACTGACTGAGATGACTGGCTGATGCACCACCTGTGCCCCCCTACTGTGCCAATCTGCTGTGCTTCAACCACCCGGCGCTCCGCTCGTTGTTGTGAGCGTCGCTCCTCCGCCCTCTGTTGTTGTTGGAGGGCGACTACCTCCAACTGCCCAGTAGCAGCGTCCTTCACGAGCCTCCTCCACAGAGGCCGATCTTGACACCGCTGGTACCAGTCATCGGCAAGTCCACTCAGCTCCACGTCCTCCTGTACCACATCACTCCATCTCTTCTCTAGCCCATGCCGCGTCCGTTTAGCCCCCTCGATCCGGCCGAACAAAAGCTGTTTCGGCATGCGGTGGCTGGGCATGCGGGCTACATGACCCAGCCATCGCAGCCTTGCCCGCCGGAGGAGCTCACCGATGGGACCTTGCCCAGATCTTTCAAGGATTTGTGAGCTCCTCACACAATCCAGTCTGGTTAAACCCAGGATGGATCGTAGGCAGGCCAGCCTAAATGTTTCTAACCGGCGAAAATGTTCCATTAGGGGGGTCCACGTTTCGCAAGCGTAGAGAAGGGAGGGAATGACCGTGGCCGAGAAGACCTGAAGCTTAGTGCGGAGCGACAGACCAGGTTGCTTCCACACAGCGTTACGCAACCGATGAAAAGATATTGCCGCTCGACTGATTCGGAGTGAGACCTCTGCTATTAAACGGAGCCGGTCATAAGCACACTGCCCAGGTATGGGAAACTCTCCACTCTCTCCACAACTGCCCCATCACCGATTGGGAGTTGTGGGGGTGGAGTGTCTGATGGTACAAAATACCCAGGCAGGTGCTTAGTTTTGGTGGGGCTGATGGTAAGGCCCCACCTCTTAGTGGCATGCTCCAGTCTCAGCAGCAGCGTCTCCAACTCCTCCTCCGACTTAGCAGCTATTACCAAATCATCAGCATACATAACGTGGTTGAGCAATAGGGAGCCATCCCTTGACCGCACCCGGGCATCGATCAGCCTCCCATTATATCTGTACCATATGGAGATTCCCCCGGTACAGCTATTGAAGGCTTCACGAACTACGTGGACAAAATAGATGTTAAATAATGTGGGAGCCAGAGGACATCCCTGTCGCACCCCAAGGTGTACAGGGAATGGCTCTGACTCCCGGCCACGTAGTTTTACCCGGGCCCGCTCACCATCATGAAGGTCCTTAATAATCGTGAGCAGAGGGTCAGGTACTCCAAAAGCACGAAGAACAACCCAGCGCCCAGGCCTGCTGATGGTATCATAGGCTTTGGCCAGGTCAATAAAGCAGAGATGTAGGTCTTGTTGGAATTCCCTACACCTCTGCTGTAGCAGACGGACAGAGAATATGGCATCTGTGCAGGACCGCCCTTTCCTGAAACCGCATTGGGGCTCCGCAAGCCTCTCCTCAGCGTGCCTGGCAAGGCGATGCTGAATAATCCTTGCCAGGACCTTTCCCGGCACACTGAGGAGTGAGATGCCCCTGTAGTTGTTACAGTCTGTGCAGTCCCCCTTCTTAAAAAGGGGGACCACCAGGGCATCCTTCCAATCCTGCGGAACCCGTCCAGTTGGCCAGACCGTTGTTATGATGTCATATAGGGCAGTCTGTGCACAAACGCCACCCTCCCTCAGCATTTCGCTTGGGAGATCATCTCTGCCCGCTGCCTTTCCTGGTCTCAGACTCCGGATTGCCTTCAGTACTTCCTCAACAGATGGCACCTCAGCCAGCCACTCACAGGGGGTGACTTCTTCCAATATTTGAGGCACCGCAGCCTCAGCAGGGTCATCCTCACTTTGTGCCACGATGTTTTCCTGGCTGAGGGATTTTCCCTCCCCCAGGACCTCACAGAAATGCTCAGCAAATCTGCAAACCTGTTCCTGGGGGTCGGAGATTGGATCACCGTTTTTTCCCCTAATGATGGTAATAGGTGTGGCGCTGCAGGTTACTTTTTTGATGAGTTAAATAGAGATTTGTGATCATGGGCCACTGAGGCAGACTCCATCTCCTCAGCAACCCGCGACCACCACCCATCCTTGCAACGCCTCACGGCTCTCCGAACCTCCGAGCGAAGGCTGCGGTAAGCCTCCTCATTCTCTGACGTGGGATTCTGTAGCCGATGACAGTGCGCCTGTCGCTTTTTCTCAACCATCCTGAACACCTCCTCTGTCAGCCAGGGTCTCTGGGGAGGTCTGGACCGCGTACCTAAAGCAGCCATTGCAGCTGCATGAGTCACAGTCCTAAACCTCGCCCATTTACCCTCGACACCAGGAGGAGTTGGGGACGATGCCAATCCCAGCCGCAAGCGATGATGAAATTCTCGCTTGCAACTTTCATCACACACAAGCATACACAAACCCACACACGCACACACATGCACGCACACACATGCACGCACACACACACAGACACTACTGGATGAGAGATGCTCTATCCACTGGTGGACTGCACACACTACTCACCGATGCACTTGAGGCTGATGCCCTTACCCGATGGACACGAGGATCTGCAATCAAATAAAAACAAAGACAGAGATCCCCCGTGTAGCCTCAACAGACTGGAGGGGCAAGTGCTGTTAGCGAGCAGCACCTGTGAAGGCCGGCACGGCACACGAGGGGGTGGGTGGCGAGCACCACGCCCGGCCGCCTTTGTCTCCCCAGTGGGGTTGATTACTACACACCGCACCAGGTAATCGTCACCGGTGTTGGTGGCCGTGAGCGGGAATCGAACTGGGCAATCTTCTCATTCGCTCACCCCCCCCACCCACCGACTCACCCACTCACCCATCCAACGACTCACCCACCCAACGACTCACCCACTCACCCACTCATCCACCCACCCACTCACCCACTCATCCACCCACCCACTCACCCACCGACTCACTCACTCACCGACTCACCCACTCACCCACTCATCCACCCACCCACTCACCCACTCACCCACTCACCCACTCACCCCCTCATCCACCCACCCACTCACCCACCGACTCACCCACTCACCCACTCACCCACTCACCCACTCATCCACCCACCCACTCACCCACCGACTCACCCACTCACCCACTCACCCACTCATCCACCCACCGACTCACCCACTCACCCACCCACCGACTCACCCACTCACCCACTCACCGACTCACCCACTCACCCACTCACCCACTCATCCACCCACCGACTCACCCACTCACCCACTCACCCACCCACCGACTCACCCACTCACCCACTCACCGACTCACCCACTCACCGACTCACCCACTCACCCACCCACCCACTCACCCACTCACCCACTCACCCACCCACCCACTCACCCACTCACCCACTCACCCACCCACCGACTCACCCACTCATCCACTCACCCACCCACTCACCCACCGACTCACCCACTCACCCACTCACCCACCCACCGACTCACCCACTCACCCACTCACCCACCCACCGACTCACCCACTCACCCACTCACCAACTCACCCACTCACCCACCGACTCACCAATCCACTCACCGACTCACACAACATCCACCCCCGACTCACC